CACGAGTTAAAGGCCTCTCTCTCCCACACACACACGCACGCACGCACGCACGCACGCACGCACGCACGCACGCACGCACGCACGCACGCACGCACGCCATGTATACATCACTTCAGGGGACATTACATTGACTTACATGCATTTCCTGGAGACTTATCCTAACCTTAACCATAACCAACACATGCCTAACCCTAACCCTACATTTAAGTCTTCACCCTCAAATGAATGATTCCCCTCCATTATGTCCCCATAAGGGGGGCGAGTCCCCACAAGTGACTGTGTAAACAGATGTAGGTCCCCACAAGGATGGTAATGCTAGGCCACACGCACACACGCACGCACGCACGCACGCACGCACGCATGTTCCTACACCTTGAGTGGCGGTGTGAAAGCAGTGACATTTACTTGGTATATGAGCAGAGTTTAGGCTTTATTTTGACTTTCTTTTCAACTATTCAATTTCACAATCCACACTTAAGTCTCTCTTTTTATTGCCTTTTGCCCAGAGAGATATTTAACTGTGCAGAGTAGGTCAGACAAGTCTTAACAGGAGTTTTACTGCTGCGACTGTGGAATGAGCTTCACCAGCCCTCAGGTAAATGTTCAGGAGGAGGAGGCCAAGGAAATGTACCTGAACAGTAGAGAGAGAGGAACGCACTGCAGTGACGGTGAGTCATGGGGTGTTTCTCAATCGCGAGTACGCTTGCTTGGTAGCACATGTCTGCCGAGCATCTTGCTTCAGAAGCGAGTCAAGAATACTTCCTGACATTTGGAAAACAAAGAGTGGAACAGGCTAGCAAGTGTGCAGGTGTGCGTCATATGAGAGGCCCCGCCTCTTACATCTTCCGCCACAGATTTGGGGAAATTGGTCCGTGCGCAAAGCATTGTGGGGATTTTAAGACCGCGGAGTCTACTCATGTGCAGCCTCGATATTTCTCCAAACGAAGTACGCCGGGCTCGGTAGATTTCCAAGTATGCTGGAGATTGGAACAGTACTACGGCGGCACTCGATGACGTAGTATGCTTGAAATAGTGGCTCTGAAGCAGCTTTACTCGCGATTGAGAAACACCCCTGGACCGGTTTCTAATATGCAAATCACTCATCTGTTATGTTCTTTTAATACTTTGAATATTGACAGTCTATGCAGATTGTTTTGATCCGCTCTGTAGTTGATGAGACATTTCACTCATCATTTAACAACCTCATTGTGTTGCTACAAAAGTCAATACAAAAATGTGCAAATAAAGAATGTTTGTATTACATGATGTCCCAATATATCTGGGAGATATTTCATGAGATAAGTTAAAGATTTGACCCACTGGTGGCACTAGATTAATAATTTGAGGATGATCAAATGAATGATTGTACGGACATTTTTCAGAAATCCATAAAAAATGTATTAAAGTGGACCTATCATGCTATATTTGAATAATATAGTGTAGGACCATACCTATATAAGGCATATTTATACTTTTTTTCCTTCAAAATACCAAACAGATCATGCATTTTAGCCATGCCTCATTTCGCTCAATTTGACAATTTCTAGATCTGTTTTTGCAAGGGCAGATTCTGTGAGAACAGCACCACCTACTGGCCTGGCATATGTACTACAGCGTCTCCAGCGCTTTCGAACGGCAATGGCCGTAGCGGTCTCCTCCTGATTGGTGGAGTTGGCCCAATAGCCGTAGCGCCACCGTCCTGACGTCAGGACAGTGTTCAAATCTGGATCAGTTTTTATCAGATCCGTTGCAGCCCCTTTTTTAGAGATTTGGGTATGGAGGAAAATAGAGAGGGTTGTGTTTTCTGACACTTGGTGAGTTCCCTGGAACACCGGGGACACATATTCATGTATAAAAGACGTACAAAAGTGCATTTTGCATTATAGGTCCCCTTTAAGATTCTTCGGTTCGGACCATAGTGGTTGACTGTCTGACCACAACATGCTTACATGCCTACGGTATTCAGTGTCTTTCAGAAACATGGATTTCGAGTGTAATTTTAAATAATGTTTTGTGGGATCACAATGTTTTAATGAGGCATTGATCACTTGGTTTGGCAGCGTTAAGGATGTCAAACAGTATGGGGAAAAGACAGAGGGGAAAAGACAAACAATGGCTATGATAAAAAGTGAAGTTCACATCAACAACAAAAACACAGACTGCATAACCTGCACTCACCTGAGTTACTTTTTCTTGTTGATGCATGATATATAAAAAGATAATATACGCTTAGACTCATACATACAGTAAAGTAGATGTTTATTATAAGGGGCGTTGTCCCAGACGAAGAAGCAAATCTCTGCTGAAAGCGTTTTGGCAGAAACATAATGATTACTTTCCCTGCCAGTGGAACAGCAGCACCCTCTCTGCTTTTATAACTCTTTACTCCCACTTATTCTCCTTGTCTAATTGTCGTCTTACCCCCCGGTGAACCCAGCAGGATCTCTGTGTCATGCAGCTTCCTGCCGTGACCTTTCAGCTGCCACGTTATAGACACAATCAGGGATCTGAGACCTGCCATAACGGATCAGAGGAATCCATGGGAGGGAATCATTAACTGTTCCTCCATGTTTTTGTCAAAAGCTGTCGATATTCCCTTTTTAATGTTTGACCCGATCTATTATCTCACAGATAGGAGGTTATCGCCACCATGCTAAAATATCACGCACACAGGAAAGTCAAATCTTTGGAAGACAGGAATAAATGTAAGTCATGTATCATGCAGGTGACCCTTCCTAAGCCCCGCCCCTTTTTGGCTTTGTTTGGCGCCGGTCAGTACCTCGGTTTACTTTCCTCTTTCCTGCATTGATGAATAAAGAAAACTGGATATAAGTTTGGAGTAAGGGCCTTTTTTAGTCCCATGAAAGTTGCCCGTTGGCACATGAAGCCAAAAAAGTATAAAGTATACAATTATGTTGACACTCAACAGATATACTAGCTAAAAGAACGAGCTAGTATTTTCTTTCAACCCCACCTTCGAATTTTGGGGAAGTAAAATAACTCTGAATTCGGCTTTAGAGCATTGTTTTACTGTGAGCACCGGTTGATGGGGTTATTTAAAGAGGACCTATTATGCTATATTTGAAAATGTTAGGGTTAGGGTTAGGGTATGTCTGTGAAGTTGTTTGCTTAAAATACCAAACAGATCACCCATTGTAGCCATGCCTCATACTCCTCTATTCCAGCCCTGTTCCAAACAGGCTGATTCTGCTTTAAATTGAACGTCTGCTGCTAGCCACGCCCCTTTGTAGCTGCTGCTAGCCACGCCCCTTTGTAGCGTCACGCAGCTTTCCCCTGCTAAGAGAGTTTTCTACCGAGAGAAACTCAGCTAAACGCTGCCGCGATTAAATGCCATATTATGTTCCAAACCACTTCAAGCATTATTTCTGAAACAGTATGGAGCTCAAACCTTTCTCTCTCGCAGGGTTTACCACAAGGACATTACGTTACACATATTCTCTCCAGTAGCCTACAGCGTTAGCTCCATGGTTAGCTCTGAGTGTTAGCATGCTTATGTAAACACAGAGCATATTACTCCCAAAACACACCGCGCATTGTTTCTGATACAGCACATAGCTTGACATGTTCTTTCTTAAGTGTTTACCGCTAGAACAGTGCCATTATATGTATTATATATATATATAACAACTTTACTCTTAGTGCCTCCTGCAGACATCCTGCTGAATACACAGACACACAGCTGCGAGAGGGGATTCAGCTAGACGACTGTATACGGAGACGATAGGTTGGGACGTGTCACGTGTGCCGGAGACGATATGTTGGGATGTGTCACGTGTGCCGGAGACGATAGGTTGGGACGTGTCACGTGTGCCGGAGACGATAGGTTGGGACGTGTCACGTGTGCCGGAGACGATATGTTGGGACGTGTCACGTGTGCCGGAGACGATATGTTGGGATGTGTCACGTGTGCCGGAGACGATATGTTGGGACGTGTCACGTGTGCCGGAGACGATATGTTGGGACGTGTCACGTGTGCCGGATGTCGCCAATGACGTAATAGGAGCCAACATTCTGGATCTGCTCGTTTGCACCCCCGTTTTTTTTTTAGAGATGTGAGTACGGAGGAAAAGAGACAGGGTTTTGTTTTCTGGCACGTTGTGAGTTCCCTGACACACCGGGAACACATATTTATGTATAGGAGACATCAAAAAGTGCATTTTGCATAATCGGTCCCTTTTAAGTGTTCGTATTGAGAAATTAGCAGCAAAAAAACATATCTGCTGATCAGAGGTCGGACAGGATCGTAACATTTCCGTCAAAATCCATTATAACCCGTCGGCCTGTACACAACTCTGCCGGGGGGGGGGCCGAACACTCGCTCGTGAACTGTTAGCGCCGTGTTATGCATGCCCACTGCACCTCGTGGGAGCGCAGCGTAAAGCTTGCACTCACAGACATTTCAATGATCTGTTCGGCAAAGTTAGGTTTGGAAACGGTATAATTTCCTTTTGGGAAGGCATGCATAATAACACGGCATAATAACACCGGAGCCTCGCTGCGGGGAAACTTTGGCGCTGTTCTGAGTTTGTTCTAATCGACGGCTTTCAGATTTTTCCGTTAATAAAAAAAACGTCATAGACGGAAAATATTCGGTTAACGCGACCTCTGCTGCTGATTTACAGAGGGCTCTTTCCCAAAATAAATATATGAAAAAAAGTATTTTGGGTCCAATGGCATCGTGTAGTTTTTTCTTAACATTTCTAATGTTCCCGATAATGTAAACCAAAGAATTATCAGTAAAGACTTGATCTTTAAAGGATCAACTCTGAGGAAATGAATAAGAAGATCACAAAAAAGAGGTTCCCTACATTAATTCGTATAAATGTATAATCCCCTTGACATTAGCAAACGTCATAATAATTTATTTTTTCTTGAATGATTCTCTTTCATTATTAATTTTCTAACCCTATAAGAAAGACAATAGGACATTTTAAACATATTTTAAAGACCAAGGAAACAAGCAAACAACGTGCTTTTGTTTTATGAATCTTTTTATTATTTCATTGCAACTTTTTTCACAAACAGAAAACAGTAAATACACCATTGTTGTTCTCATCAATTGTACATAAACTGATACATTCTCTTAAACATAAGTATCAAAACAAATTTAACACATATTCACATACAACTGATCTAAATCCCATTAGTTAAAAAAGAAAAAAAATATTAATATTATAATAGTAAATAAAACCAAACAAATATTTACAAAGTCTTCTGTTTAAACTACAGATATTTACACAGTGGGTGGTCCGCGCCCCCGAGAGAGAGGCAGGAGAACTGGTTTCCTTGGAGAGAAACGTTTAGAAGTAAAATTAAGACAATCAAAGAGTTGAAATAATAATATGTCGATAAACGCTTGTTTTTATGGAGTACAGGGTGGGTAGAAGCTACAGTCTAAACGTTCCTGCATCACAAAAATATAACTGTTAAAGAAATGACAAGTTTCTGCTCCTAAAGTTTGAGTTTTTAAAAGGGCGAAGAACAAAATATCTTTAACAACTCAGGCAGTATCGTTCAATCAGTTCAGAGCGGCAGGTCCAGTCCAACCAGCGCCACCTACAGGCAATAAAACTACCAGCATCAGAAGTTAAAAAAAACTATAAACGTAGACATTGTGGTCTGCTCCATACGGGCAAAAAGTACAACTGCAATTGTTAATATAGATAGTGTTTTTGAGGTTGAATTTTTTTAATTTAAAGCTTTAAAGAGAGGACAAAAGAAGCCGAATAGACACAAAATACCACCAATATTTCTGTCTTTGAACTGTTAATGTAAATTAATTTGCATTTGTGTATGTTAGTGCTGTTTTCTGATGGTCAAGTGCCAGAAAAAGGTTTAATTTACGAGGAAACAAACAACAAAATTCACCGCTAACATTCACTGCCTGCAGGTGGTGCAATTACAGGAGTTATTATTATCTTTGCCTGTAGGGGGCGATAATGGCAACGTTCACTAGATGCTTCTACTGTTAGTTTAATAGGTGGCGCAGGTGAACAGGCAGAACTGTTCTTACAATATAACATTTTATGACCCGTTTAACCGAATAAATATTTCCGGTGCTGAAAGAAAATTTGAGCTGCAGGCATGATGTATCATTGTGGGCATTACTGGGGGCAACAGATCTTATGTTTTAATGACTTAAACGTGCTTGAAACAGTGAAGGAAAGTCAAAATCAGGCTTCTAAAAATATTGGTTCACAATAAAGCAGTTAGCCATAATTCACTGCCAGCCTCCAAATCGTTGAATTTCGGTATTTTTGTAAAATAAATGGCATGGATCCATCCATGAGCTCCATTGGAAGACTTCAATTAAGTTATTACACAGAATAACAAAAAAAGAGTAAATTAAGAAATAGCTTGCCTTGTATCAAGAGAGATTTCATACTGGGATGTTTAAATTTACAAATGAACAATGATTTTAATTTCTTTCATTTTAACTTTAATGTTATTTAATCTAAAAGAGAAATGGTGGATGAGGATTTTTCACGTTCAGTTTATAGAGTGAATCCTTTTTGTACTGAGCAACATTTCCCCCCCTCTTGTAATTCCTGTCGTTTTAAAGCATACATCACTGCACAAAAATGCGTGGGCATCCCAGAGCTTTCAAAAAATGTATATACTTTAAAAGCAGCCGCCACAAGTGACTATTAATACCGCGCATCAGGTGCACGTTAACCTGTCGTTCAGCCAGTTAACAGGACTCTGCAATCCGTGAGTGCAATTTACCCACCGCACTGTAGCCTACATTTAAAAACACAATCAGGAACGATTACACAACAGGTCTATCCACCCATTTCTGTCTTTCTTTCTTTAGTTCAAGTGATGAACAAACACGGGGGGAACACAGCACTGAATAGAAACTGTCGTCAGAGGAGCTGGTCGCTGTGGCAACAGGTAATATCACGGATACAAACATTGGCAAATCGCTCCGCTGTGAGATCGACAGGTATTACCTGTGCCGAAACAAGCATGACAGGCAGATTATTAACTTTTCCAGTTCTCTGAAAGTCTGTTGAGTTTTTTGTAAAGGGCCCTTAGAGGGAGATTAAATCACAACATGGAATTTTACAACGTTTGATGTAGAAAAAAAAAGGGATGTCAAGTATAAATCTCAATACATTCATTGTATTCACACACACACACACACACACACACACACACACACACACACACACACACACACACACACACACACATACATATGCACACATGTATAAACAAGTATTTACAAAGGCAGGACGAACCTGTCATTTAAAGTTCATATCTCAAAATGAGAAAAGACGGAAACTGATCAAAGATGGAGGTGGTGGCAGATTTGTTGGACAACAGACAGTTCATGTTGTTTCCAGGTTGTAATCAGAAGAAGTCCCAAATGTTCTGATGTGAAGTGTGTGTACGTGTGTTTTAAATCTGTTTCAGTGATGAGAACAGACAGAAAATCATCTCGGAGTCCCGGGTAGATCATTAGCTCTGCTGTTAAATGTTCAGCAAACACTGTGTTGACTGATAGCAGAAATATTGCGTATAATAGCGCCGTGACGGTTCTGTTCACAACCGCCAGAAACCACTTCCTCTGTTTCCATGAGAAGAGAAAAAGCAGCAGAATAACACAAGGCCAGATTTGTACCTGATATACAAACATAACACTTTCCAAGTTAGGTACAAGTTTTTGCCAATTGTACCTTATGATATGCAAATGAGGCAGTTCAATACTTTAATATTAGAAGATTGATGCTATTTTTTGTGAATCGAGAAGACATCTTAAGACACAAATAGACACCATTTGTCAAATAAACATCTAAATGTGTATTTTGAACTGTTCTACTAGTCTGGAAGAATATGCTATCCAACCATAATAGCCGAGTCTCATTGAATAAACCAGAACCTTCATTAAAAACTTGCTTTTAATTTTGAATTTTCTCCCATTTCCCTTCAAATGTCCACCATGGATTGACCAAAGTCTCTGTTATTTTCTCTGCTATCAATCAAGGTGTGTTACCATGGAGCTCCACGGCTCCACAGGGATGATTTTGTGTCTGTTCAGGTGTGTGGATCCTGCCGTGTTTGTGTGTGATTATGGGATGGTTTGTGTACATCCAGATGTTAGTTCTGGTGGCGCTTCATGTGCAGGGCCAGGTGGTCGGAGCGGGAGAAGCAGCGGCTGCAGGCGATGCATTTGAAGGGTTTCGCTCCGGTGTGTTTCCGGTAGTGTCGGGTGAGCTCGTCTGACCGGGCGAAACGCCAGTCGCAGCTTTCCCATGTGCAGCGGTACGGCTTCTCACCTGCAGGGGGAGGAAGAGAGGGCAGAGGTGTTAGAAATATAAGGGAAGGTTTATCATAATCGTTAGAAAAATATCACTCGTCACCGGGCTTGAGCTTCAATATCATATCAATATACATGTATTTATTATCCTCTCAAGAATGGAAGTAGTCATCACATACAGAGCATTTGGTACAACTAGTTCCTGAACAGTGTCCTCCAGATGCTGATATTACACTGTACAATCAGACAAGTTCATCTCACTAAAAGGGAATAAATCTAACAAAAGAGATTATGTTGTAAAGGCAATGTAAATATATCTATTAGAATATGTTTTCTCTATATCGACTTAAGTTAACTTACATGTTGTTTTACTGAATACATTATGGGAAGTTGTTCAAGTTCAATTCATATGTTATTTCTACATGTGCAAAAGGCCTGCATTGTTTAATATCAATAAATGAGTTATATAACTGTTCCTTCCTTTCAAGCAATCCATTAAAATCTATGGAAAATCAAGTTCCATTGATTTAAAAAATGTGTCAAATCTACATATTACATGTCAACGTATTCAAAGAAGAGCTATTTTGTCCTTCAGGTTTCTGCCTGTTCAGTTATCAGATGCATCATGATTTCTAAGATGTCAGACCTGGCTGTTTAACTCGTTGCTAATGCAAGAAAAATAACAGGTAATTCCTGACGTGTGGTAGTGGAACTGTGAACAGAGTGAAACCCATTCCCACATCTCATCAATAACTCTGGTGTCAAAAATGTCCTTTCACAATAAAACCACAATACAAGTGTGAGTGAGAAAGTGTGTGTGCCTCCACAGTGGGTGTCACTGTATTGGTCAATGTGTGTAATCAGTATTTCTGTTTGAATGGCAGTTAGCAGTGCGGGCGACAGAGTGTGTATTTGTGGTTTTCACACCTCCCTCCTGTAAACACTCCACTCATTTCCATAAAGCTCAACGGCGAGATTACATCCCATCGAGTAACGACACACACACACACACACACACACACACACACACACCACACACACACACACACACACACACACACACACACACACACACACACACACACACACACACACACACACACACACACACACACACACACACACACACACACACACACACACACACACACACACACACACACACACACACACACACACACACACACACACACACACACACACACACACACACACACACACACACACACACACACACACACACACACACACACACACACACACACACACACACACACACACACACACACACACACACACACACACACACACACACACACACACACACACACACACACGTCTAGACTCGATTGAAAGAGGACTTGGTTGATTAATTGACAACACTATCAAATATAATAATGCTCAATTATAAAATTCCTGAGAAGAACAGGTTGTGAGGAACGATTAGCAGTAACCGCTGTGTGTGTGTGTGTGTGTGTGCGTGCCATCACAGCTCAATTTGTTGTCCCTAACACACCTTATTACTTGGCGGTTACATCTGTCATTAGCAGACTAAGTGTGTTTGTGTGTGAGATTTAGGAGTGATGAGAGGGAGATTGTAATGGATAATGTTTGGCTTTTTAACGCAGTTCGTGTGTGTTGGTGGAATATTTCACCTGAATCTTAGAGGAACTCTCACTGCTATTTTATTCAGTCTAATATTCACTGATGAACTGACTGTGAGGGAGTCATTTTATCATTAAAGCAACTTTCGTTAGGGAGGCAATTTACATGTTTCACAAAAAGCTAATATCTGACTAACTTTTAATATTTGAATATATTTCAAACTGGAGTAAATACCAAAATGCCTGGGGGGTTTTCACTGAACTGAGCCCAGAGGACATGTCGCTCAGGATTGTGACCTTGACCAACTATTTCTAAACGCTAAATAAAATAAAAAGTGTTGCTATTTCTTTCTAAAGATGCCATGTGGAGTTTCTGACCTGCTGTAGTCGCACTATTGAGTAATTTTTTCTGGGGGTTTGTGATTTCTTTTCTCACAGAAGTTTAATGGATTCTGCATAATAAGGTATTGGAGGCAGAACTTGTAAAATGGCAGTGCAGAACAACGAGCCAAGTAAATCTTAACACGCCACTTATCTTAACACACCACTTATCCCACCCCTCCCAAACATTGGCATTTCTCTGCTCTGCCGCTACGTGCTGTTGCCAAACAGTGAGCTAATCATCAACACAGAGAAAAAAGATCTGTTCAATAGGCTGCTATTCAAACAACTGGAACAAAAAACATGTCATCTTTCATGGAACAGTCCAAATGAATGGCAGGCAATCAGGGAAAGGCAAGAGCCCAAAGAAAACTGAGATATAAATAACTAAACAATAACACTCTGAGTTCATGGCAACAGGGAGGCGTGTGGCGCAGTGGGTTGTGCGTTGGTGTTCGGATCACGAGCACAGGTTCAAACCCCACTGCAGTCAGCATGTCGTTGTGTCCCTGAGACACTTCACCCCAAATTACTCCTGTGGGGATTGTCCACAGTATTGAGCGTCTAACAAGTGACATGTCATGTACTGTAATATATTTAATGTTTTTCATGATATAAGGGATCTTGTTTTCTCCAACAAAGACCGATTCATATTCTCTCGAAACACATTCATCTTTTTTGAAAATGAATGATATACATTTATGAGACATAATTGTGCTTCATTGTTGTTGTACCTAAATAAGTATATAGTGAATCCCTAATTGTGTCCTTGGCTGAAAACCCCAGAGGAAACCCTTTTTCTTTGTTATCAGCGTGGTGTGAGGAGGGGGTGTGTCTGTCTCTGGCTCTGTGGGTCATCGAGGGCTCGTTACCACAGCGGGCCTCGTTAGCGCTGATTAGATAGCTTCTGCTATTGGCCATCAATCACTCAGTGACAGCCATTAGTGGGGTGAGGGGTCCAAAGAACACAAAGGAGGGGTCAGGCGATAAGAAAACTAAAAAATAAGTGCAGCAGAAAATGTGTTTTTGAGTTAATTTTGATGCAAAACTATTCATTTTTAAAACAACGTCATATTCAATAGTGATTATAAACACTTGTTTCAATGTACTATATCCCAACATGATTTAATTGGATAAAGCTACACAATTTATAGATTTTGTGAGATGGGCTATATTCAAATGGCAGAAAGCCAGATATTCGTTAAAGTCTAAATATGTTTTAAAATACCAGAGATATACTCTCCTACATAAAGTATTCTATAGACTAAACAAAACATATTGGTTTTGTACAGATTCTCTTAAAAATGAACACTATGATCATTTTAAAACAACAATACAAGTCAAAAATAATCCTGCAGCACTAAAACCTGAGCACACACACATCAGAGGCACTCCAGGCTCCAATCAGGACGATATCCTGTTCCTGGAGTGAACCGCTCGTGATGTGTGTGTAGAGGTGGAGAACAAATGTCTCCGTATAAAGAGACGAGGCTCTCGAGCGGCAGGTGTGTTTGGTTTTGCTCTATGGCTGCGCTGTGGGGGTCAAAGCACAGCCGCCTCTCGGAGACTTATTATCCTCGAGAGGCAGCAAACAGGCAGGTGAAATACGACACATTCACACACAGAGCAAACACACGTGAGGGGTATATATTCCTAAACAAGCTGCCAAGAGGTCAGGTGGAAACATACCCCCCCCTCATCCATCCGTCATCTGCCTTTAGACTACAGTTTGGGAAGATTTACCTGTTGGGTAACTAATTGCCTGTGAAGTGACGAAAGCAGTACTTGTGTGTCTGTTTAATAACAAGACCCTGTAGAAAAGTGGTAGATGGACCATTTGAATATACTGGTTGTGAGGGGGGGGAAACTGAGCTTTGTGTGGATACTGACAAAACTTTCTTGAATAAAAATAACATAATACACTTATGGAAATGATATTCTGGCATTTTGAAGCACGTGACCCAACACACATATGGATATATTCATTTTTTTCTTTTAAAACTGAAAGGCATCAGCTTTCAAAAGACAGACAGCAGCTATTTGATCAGGTGGCAGAATAAAAAGAGGCCTACTATTATTTCTTTCTCAAACAAAAACGAATGAGTGTATGTATGAATACGTCATAAACCATAATGGACACACACACACACAACAAAACACACACACTCAGAAGTGTACAGACAGCATAACAGCACATTAATCACTCTGGGACAAAACATCTTTTGTTGCAGGCTGATGTGTACTTTGTAAGGATCATATACCTTTACTCTATAGGGGGCTTTAAGTCTCTTTGACTCCATGAACCCGCAGCAGGAACATGTATTAACCCCTTATCTTGTTACTGCTAATTCTCCATATAGGTAACGTTAGAACAACTTTAGAATAAAGACGAAAAGTGGATCCAATCAAAAAGAGAACTATTTTGCTTTACTTCAAGAAAAAACGTATTAAAATATTCTAAAATGCTTTTGTTCAATTATAACTACTATATTTCCCTAAATCTTAAGTCTCTTTACATTTCAAATGAGGGCATTTAACTGATGGTCTTACTCTGGCCGACTAAAGAATAGGTCGAACATTTCTTTGACATAATTACATTTTCTAAAAGTAGAACAAAATCTGACGGTAAAAAAAAGGTTTCCACCCACTCTTAAACGTCTTCAGATGTTCAAACCACTTGTAATGCATACCCTAAATGACTCTACACCGTCTGGTATAAAACATCAGAGCATGATAAAATCATTTTATAACATCTCTGCCTGCTTTTAATGAGTCAAAGAGCAAACAACTCCAGGCTCTCCTGGACGCCCATAAACTGTTTGTAGACCTCTTAGCTTTATCAGCTCCGTTAGTGTTTGTGAAGAGGGCTGGAGGGTTCCTTAATCAGGCTGATAGCACTTTACACACACACATGTACACACACATGTACACACACACGTACGCACACTAACACACAGTTACTACAAGACAACGTGCAAAGCTCAAATGGCTTCTGAGGCCATGGTCAAGGTTGGACCCTCGTAGCGGCGGGTATATTGAGCCACAAATAACCACTCAACAGATAGTGATGCAGTCCAACAAAGACAGCTTGTTAATGGCTGTCAAAGTATTACAATCCTTTACTTAAGAACATCTGAAAAGAAAAGATCGCTCTACAACATTGTTAGCAGCATGGCTACCGCTAGCAGCCTTGGTAACGCTACTTTTCAGAGCAAAACAAACAACTGTAGGAATACCGAAGAACAACAAATACAGATCTCAGTGGTATGATAGGGGAAGAGTAAACGGTTTCGTTTCTTAGTAATCCAGCATGGTAAAACTCACTTTTGCTTGTTCACCTATAGTTAATAGCTTCAGAAACTTCCCAACTGGTCAAATTGGAGCTAAAAAGGTCTAGTATAGTAGTCCTTATCAAACAAACTTTATACGTGTGCCTCATGTACCGGCAGGCTGAGCATTAGCCATGAGCAAGTCCCAGCATGCATTGTGTGGGACGCAGGGTACGCACTAGACAGGTAATAGAGCTAGCACAAACATTTATATCAAAAGTCTTTGACCTAAGGGGGACAACCTGGAACAATGTAGGGTTTAAGGAGCTTATAAACATAATAACTTAAGGAGAGTAAAACACCTACTAATGTTGAGAACTGAAGGCAGCATGACTAGATTTCTCACGAAAAACTAAAAAATAAATAAATTCTCTGAAATTTTAAATCAGTATTTCGAAAATTAGGTTATCCTTAGTAAAGAAAATGAAACTGATACTTATACTTATAAGACACACACTCACGCTGACATACAGTACATACCCACAAACACACACTCAGATACACACACACCCACACGCAACTTTCTGATACTATCGCCTTAAGGGAAACAAAAATACATAAATCTGAATCATTGAGGTGAAATAGACATTAATTGTGTGGATGTTTCACCACATGACAGGGTGTTGATAAAACATGTGGATAAATGCTGCTGTAAAGAATGATGATGACATGCATGAAGAAATACCTATTTTGGCTGTTTCACAGAAGAGTATGTATGCACACACGGGTACACACTAGCAGAAAGGATTAGCAGATGGATTTACAGAGAAGTTACTGCCAACATATTTTTCTCTTTAAGCAAACACAAACTAGTTTCAGCTTCTCAGTGTGTGGATTATCTGTTTTAGAGTCAGCTAAACTAAATGTGTTTGGGTTTTTGAACAGTGATATATCTTTTCCGATATATATTTATATTGAAAAACATTCCTAACCCTGACATTGGCCTTTAAATATTAAATCACTTATTAATATGAACATAAAGATTGAATTATATTTTATCCGTAGGTCTGTCCATGACTGTTAGGCAATAAGAAAATCAACTTTAAGCCAATGTAAAGAGTCTACAATGTGCCTGATGTTATCTTTTATATTTGCTGTGGATAGTAGACTGGCTGCAGCATGTATGATTTGAAGGTGTGAACAGGCTCAAGATGGCAAACAGTGAGCTGCATTAATCACTGCTGGGAAAGATAAGGCATGAATAGCTTTGCACAAGTAAGAGAATTGGGAAAAAAACATTCATTTTAAGCAAACAGCACCAGACTACCTTTATCCTGCCTACTTTCTATAGCATAGATTAGAGTCAAATATAGGCTTAAAATAGGTTGTCAGTTTTCAAATGTCCTTATAAACGCGAGTTCAGGGAGCAGATGTATACTTTATATACATTATTGCAAGAAAACAATAGTGTGGACAAAATAAAGGGGACCGAGGACAGAGCCTTGAGGTATTCCACAGCTTAAGTTACAGACAGACCTTTAACAACAATGAGGTTTCTGTTTTAGAGATAAGAATGAAGATCTAAAGTAAGATAAAAGTTAAGATCAGAAAACTAAATATGTTCGTGCATGAGGCCCCACTGTTTCTGAACATGTTCAACTTATGAGTCATCCTGAACTGAATGAAAAGAACAGAATAGGCAAGCCTGGTTTTGCCAGTTGGAAAGTGAAGCCTCTTAGTGAGATTCAGAGTGACCAGGATGAGTAAACCAGGGCGTTCACTTTTTGCACAATCCGTAAACACGAGGCAGTTTTATACACGTTTTCAGACCGACTGTTTACACGTGGCGCTGTTGAACTGTACAAACCTATTGACATTCAATCTTAGAAGTTGCATTGAGACTTAACTCTATTTTGGGGTTTCAAAAGCCAATAAGTTGTGAATCAAAAGCCAATTGGATATCCTTGAAAACTGTTGCACATTTCAACTCAGTGGTAGTCAGTCCCTAAGTTACATTCAATGAGCAACAAAAAGAAGAACACTAGTTCAGACACATGCCTTCAGGGAACAGTGGACAATTAGCTTACAAGTTAATACAACATTTCTCCTCCGGGCACTAAATAATTGCTGTGCACTGACCACAGAATGATTCAACCACTGACAATGTGGTGCGTCAAAGACAAAGTCAGACTGTTTGCGTGAAAATTGTCGACACACTCCTAAATTGTCTCTCTTACTGCTCTCTTGTATTGTTCTCACTTCATATTTTACAGTCTGCTTGTCTTTTGTGTTGCTGTATCCTGCTGCAACACCTGAACTTCCCCCAAAGGGATCCATAAAGTTTCCGCTTATCTATTTATGACCATAGAACGATCTGTTTCTATTTGCACATTCATTCATTTGTTTCTCTCTGCAGCTTTTATCGCACGAGTAAATCTCTAAAATCCAGGTCTGAGGCTTCTGGGAAACCCACAGGTTTCATGTTACAGAAGGGAATCACATCGAAACCAGCCTTCCCCCATTCTGCAAACCCCCTCCTTCCTCCTATTGCATCGTCTGAAAAGCAGGAGTAACTGGTTTGGCCTTTTGCTTTGCACGTCTTCCCTCTTTTTTTCCCTCCGTCCTTCATCCTCCCCTCCTCCCTCCCTTCTTTGTTCTACCTCTCTTGGGATCTCAGAGGACAGGTATGAGCATGTACAAACACAACAAAAAACTCTTGAGCAAAGCAAATGTTGCTTCTATGATGTTTTTCCTCTTCATTGTGTTCTATTATAGTAACTGGGTGTATCGAAACTGACGTCGAGACAAACTATGCAGTATAAAAATAAATAAGCTGAAGCCAAATGATAAATGGTCACGTTGCAAAGCTTGTGAGTTAACCGTCGCTAGTTTGAACCCTGGGATAAGTTTGCATATGTGGACAGAAAAGCTAAATAAATACAACACATGTGTACATTTGTGCAAAAACACAAAGGGACACACTTTGGACAAAAGTTTCATGAAGTTGCATTGTGCACAAGAATGCCAAAAGTGTCATGAAGTTGCATTGTGCACAAGAATGCCAAAAGTGTCATGAAGTTGCATTGTGCACAAGAATGCCAAAAGTGTCATGAAGTTGCATTGTGCACAAGAATGCCAAAAGTGTCATGAAGTTGCATTGTGCACAAGAATGCCAAAAGTTTCATGAAGTTGCATTGTGCACAAGAATGCATGAAGTTGCATTGTGCACAAGAATGCCAAAAGTTTCATGAAGTTGCATTGTGCACAAGAATGCTTGTTTTTCCTCTCCATATCATAGAGTAAAGTTGTATTTTTTACTATTTTATATCAGACCGACATCTGTCAGTGACTAATTCTCTTAACGGCAAAACCAGTCAGCTGTTAGCACTACTGGGGTAGGTGAGTACAAATACAAATTTGCCAGATTATCCCCTACTGTGTTTAATGGAGCTTTGTGCTAATTCATGCATAACTTGCTGAAGGAGCCCCTGCAGCAAGTTATTGGCATTAGCTGCTTCAATTTCTGCTTCAAAGTCAGTGGCTTATTACCATTTGCTAAAAATGGTCACTTTCCTCTAGTGTCTTTGACTGAACTGCATGTAGATAAAGACAGTGATGTGCAATGTGATGTCATCTTGTGTCAAGTTAAATCCACAGAGGAGTGTTTTCTTACCTGTGTGCGTCCTTTGGTGAGCCTTCAGATGGGAGCTCTTTGTGTAAACTTTGGAGCAGCCTGAAAATAAATCACAGAGAGAGTTAGATGGATGAGCCCGGCTGACTGCGGAACATGTGCTCACCTGACGCTAAGTTTAACCTGGCCATAAAGCTGTTAACAAGCAGAAAAAGTGCTGTCTTTTGAGTTGTTTTTCCCCTGTGACACAGTGGGAATGGTACTTAACACAGGACAACTCAATCACATGTTTAGAAATCTTTGGTAAGCGAACCCAGAAGGACCATTTCAAACAATTGCCCTCCAGGCTGAATAAAAAACTCAACGCTTTTCCAGTGGGTTTTAAAGAATGCTGGCAACCCAGTTATTGTTTGTTTGATATTAAAGAGAGGCATTGTGTTACTGAAAGATTTGCATGTGTTTTTGCTTTGGCAGTCGAGCTTATTTAATATTTACACAACAGGGACATTGGTTGAAAGCAATCCGAACCAACTTGCTGAAGTGGTAGTGTTGTGACTTGCTTTCAATTGTTTCGTTATTTGTGTGAAGTAAGCCTTTAAAAAGTCCGGGCTGGTTTAGTATCTTCACTTTTAACTTGCAAAAGTAAAAATACAGCATGTAAATACAAGTATACTGCCAATACAGTCAGATATCTCACTTTTGTAGACAACTGGTAGAATGACCTGGTTGCTAACAACGTACATTTCCCCTCTGTGGGACTAATAAAGGCATTCTGATTCTGATTCTGAATTACATGCCGATACAAAAATAATGTTTTCTTGCCAACAAGGGAGACATACTATCTCACTCCATAAAATGTATTTATTAATTTATTTATTTGTTTATTCCACACATGGCAGTTATTTTAAAACAAAACATGTACACTTATACTGTTTTTTTTTTATAGCGCATGGTGGAAAATAGGGACAATTGTGTTAGTGAACATTTTCTTTGGACTAAAACCGACCTTGGAAGTCACAGAAGTGGATCCTCCTCTTCTCCAGCTCCGGGTTGTTCCGCCTGTTGTATTTGGGGCCCGTCAGGACCCCCTGGCCGTGTGTCATCAGCATGGCATGTGGAGACAGCCCCGTCACCTTCATCCCTCCCAGGCGCTGCTGGTAGGCCAGGTGGAGCTGCGGCGGTAAACTCAGCAGCTCCGCCTGATTGTCTGGACTCCCCGGCTGAGAGTTGGGGGGGGACGGGGGCAGGCTGTGTGGCGCTGTGTGTGACGGAGAGGCCTGGTAATAACCATGATGCTGCTGTACCTGGTGCTCGGCCATCATGTAGTTGCCGTTGTTTGTCTGCAATGCGACGTTGCCAAGGTTCAGCATGGTCCTGCCGCTCGCTGAGGCGTGTGTTGACGGGCTGCTGTGGGACAGAGTCATGGTGAGGTCCCCACAGCTGGATAAAGGCATGTGGTAGACCTGCGACTGAGGGGCCGGGGGGCCGATGTGGAGCTCCGTGTCCATATTTTGCTGGTGCTGATGCTGGTGCTGATGCTGGTGCTGGTGCTGTTGCTGGTGCTGTTGCTGGTGCTGGTGCTGGTGGTGGTGCTGTTGGGATGATGTGGACACATTCACTACCCCTAAGCTCATGTCTGGTTTGATGAAGACGTTGTTGACGACAGGCGGCACGCTGAACACGGAGGTGAAGTCGGGCAGGGCCTGGGTGCTGGAGGAGGTGATGGAGCAGGGCACCTCTAGCCCGGGCTCCGTCTTGATCTGCTGCACCGACAGAGTCTTGTTGTTGGGCCGGTAGAGGCCTGTGCGGAGGTGGGTGGTGTTGGGGAGGATGACGTTGATGTTGAGGCTGTAAGGGGTCACACTTTTGTCGTCCGAGAAGAACTCGTCGACCAAGGAGGCGCTGCCTCGTCGGTGCTTCCTCTCCACGGTGTCGATCAGGTTACTCAGCAGAGGACCGTTGACCTCCGGCAGGTATTTGTCCAACTCTAATCGAATCTGAGAAGAAACAGAAGACAGAGAAACATTAGAGGCAGGAGTTCAACATGTCAAAACTGCAACTCACTACAACCCTCGGGTGGATGGATACCTGGTTTTATAAGTAGTTATTTTATACAACCTGCTCTTCACTAAGTCATTCTCCCAGATTTCCTGAGAATGTACCTGTCAGAAAGCGAGCCATTTAAACAGAACAACCCTAGCAAACTAGTTTAAGAACACAGAGGTGTGTCCAAGAGAAAACAATCTGTGTGACTAAGAAGGGTCATTTACACGAAACCCTACCAAAAATGTTAAACTTGAGAGACAATAGAATTTGGAACTTCTTTCTATAAATGCGGACACAAAAATGATCAGACAAATTCAAACAACTGTATAAAATGCTGCACCATATCTGCCAGAGTTTGTGGGTTTGTATCTCTTCGAAAGCATTTCCTGTTAAAATCCTGGATATCATGCTGGGTAAAACAAATGGGGAGAAGCCTGCGAGCTAGTTCAGGCAGTCAACTCGAGCTCCAATGATACATTACCACGTGACGCACCTCGTCCCTCTTACAACCAACCAAACACATTCTCCTAAACATGCCGCTCTATTGAAGCTGCCAGGTCGTCCTGCCTCTGCCTCGCTCATGCTGCTGCTGTGTTCACTTGCTACTGCTACGTTCATGTTCCTGCTGCTGTGTTTCATGTTGCTGCTGCTCGCCTGCCCCACCACCACCCCAGCTTCCACCCCAGCTTCCACCTGTAGGCTCGGGGGGATAGTTATCTAATCATCACTCAATGTTCTTTGTAAATCTGTGAGTGATGAGGCCCGAGCCTAGACGCCAAACTCAAACTATATGCTGCTATAATAAACATATTAAAGGGGACCTATCATGCAAAATGCACTTTTGTACGTCTTTTCTACATGAATATGTGTCCCCGGTGTTCCAGGGAACTCACCAAGTGTCAGAAAACACAACCCTCTCTATTTTCCTCCATACCCAAATCTCTAAAAAAGGGGCTGCAACGGATCTGATAAAAACTGATCCAGATTTGAACACTGTCCTGACGTCAGGAAAGTGGCGCTACGGCTATTGGGCCAACTCCACCAATCAGGAGGAGACAGCCACGGCCATTGCCGTTCGAAAGCGCTGGAGACGCTGTAGTACATATGCCAGGCCTGTAGATGGTGCTGTTCTCACTGAATCTGCCCTTGCAAAAACAGAGCTAAAAAATGTCAAATTGAGCAAAATGAGGCATGGCTAAAATGCATGATCTGTTTGGTATTTTGAAAAAAAAAAAGTATAAATATGCCTTATATAGGTATGGTCCTACACTATATTATTCAAATATAGCATGATAGGTCCACTTTAAGTGGGTTTAGAAACACGCGAGTTGTCTGACTGAACTAAAGGCTTCCTTAAAACTCTGTGGAATCATTCACTACGGCTCCTATGTGGCGCGGCATTTGTTTAGGATCAACATGGACATTGTTTAACTGATGTAATTATTTTGAGAGATGAATGAGCTGCAGATGGTGATAAGGAGACTTTGACATGGCTCAGTTCCACCCAGTCCAGTCATCTATAGATACACAGTATAGGTGAAGAGGAGGAAGTAGTAGAGGAATTACAAAAGAATAAACACTTTTAAGAAATGATAAAGAAAATGTTAAGCAAAGCTGATACCAAGACTTCCTCCTCCTTTCTTCACATGCTTGTTTCTCAGTCCAGTTCAGAATGGGGTTCATTTGCAAAGAAACCAAAAAACACGTTTTATTTAGTGTTAAACCCTTCACATAAACACACTATTATCTAACAGTCTCACTATTACGCACAAAACATTTCGGTATTCATGTTAAAGGTGACTCCAGCTATTTCTGTACACCACATCAAACTGAACAATACAACAAGCTAAGTCTGAAGACAGCTGTTGTTGTTTTATGATGTTTCTGGGGAGATGCAACGGTCAAACATATCTGATCAGATCTGCTTTTGTTACATGTGATAAAAGGTGTGGAAACACTGCATTTGTGGATGTTGAGAGAAGTTTCTTTAAGCAACAAGTCTAGACAGGTTGAGGAGGGTATGGGGAAATAGATAGCAGGTATTTAAGGTATTATCTGATCTTAATCCTGATTAACTAGTGAGTGTGTGTGTCATTCAGAGTCTATGAAGCGAGCATCTCTCCTTTAGAGGTGCACAAACCGTTAAATTAAGGATCTCTTCTGCAGACCACACACATTAACACACACCCACACAAGTAGGCAATCTTACGAACGCACACTCAACTGCACACAAGAACACAAACAGAGTTCCCTCCATGGGTGTGGCAGATGGAGGTGATTTGAAGCGTGAAAAAAGCAACCAGTCAAACCAAAACAAAAGGCTGAAGGCATGACAACGACGCAGCGAAACTTAAACACTGTCAGGTAAAAATAGACCTGCCAGACAAATGTGATCCTCCATGTGACAGCTGATACACGGCAGTGAAGACAGGATGAGGAAATGGAGGGAGAGCAAAGCAAAGAGAGAAGGAAGAAAGATGGCAGCTAATAATGAAACTGGGGCTCATGTGTGAATGCAGCCATGAAACTTATCATTTTCTATACAACATGCATTTATCTTGGTTGTGTACAATGCATGTTTAATACAGGGCTTACTTGTTATCTTATGGATTCTCAAAAACCTCTTTTTTACCAGGCTAAGATAACAGAATAGTTGTCAAACAAATTGTACTACTTATTACTGAAAATGATCTTAATGATTAGATAAAATGATTAAAAACAACAAAGGAAGTGTGTTAATAGAAATATGTATGCAACTGTATGTATGATACATGTCCAATAACAATACAACGTTCTTGTTTAATTTTTGTATAAATCTGCAGCCTGCTCAGCAACACCCAAAAGTATTAAATGATGCTCATTTTGAATTGGAAAAAGGAGGCAAATCATTAAATCAATTAGGTTTAAACCCACTGACCTGAGCGACCCTTAATTAAGAAGCAGATTGAGTTTCTAAGTTATCTGACCATCAAGAAACCCTAACACAGAGTGAACAGTGGAGTCCTGATTTTGGGACAAATGACCCGCCGAGGTGCTGAAGTGTTCGAGGTCGAGTCGAGCAGGAGAGAGTTCCTGTTTCAAAACCTCATTGTGCAGCGCAGCTCCAAGTGCCAGCACCGTCAACACACACACTCAAAACACATCCCTCCAGTAATAACCTGCTGATACATCTCCATACACACACACACACACACACACACACACACACTGGAAGGTTATTGCTCTTTGCATATGTGAATGTGGTTTTTGTTCATGCGTGTGTTCAAATACTGAGCGTATTTTTGTGTAGGACATGTCATATGGTTTAATTGTTAGCTCAATACTTTCACTTTAGGTGCCTTTTAGAGTTTGAATGTAATATCAATGTTAGTCAGTTCATTAAGTATGTGTTACTGTTTTAAACAGATATAATATTTGAAGTCAATATTTCCAGAAATGTTCCAGGCTTGATGCAAATTTCAGTTTTTCAGTGTTCAGTAAAAACTGCATGGATTGCACTTTTTCTTTGGGTGTTGCACATTTGTCTCTGTGTGTACATATGTTGGTGTATCTATGCAGAAGTGTCTATGTAAGCATGTTGTGTGTTTTTATTCAGTTTTGCCACAGGGTTAATAGATGTCCATCATGTTTTGTCTCCGGTGAACTCACACCACCTTGTCATCAGTGCAATCTGAGCACTCGCTGGAAATAAAGTCCTGGGTATTTACGGAGGGGAAAAAAAGAAAACAAAATCAGCCTCTCTGTTCCCTCGCTCTGAGGCTCCTGTGTTCCTCTCACAAACAGCCCTGTGTCGCTGTGACCCTGCGCTGCCCTTGGTCACTTCCCTGCTGTGGATCACTGCTACTGTCAACCTCTGCTCTCCGACTGCCCGCTTCCTCTCTCGACATTGTCATATTTGGCAATTGTTTGCGCTGTAAAGATGATATTATGCAAAGAAAGGCTGATGCTAGGGCTGTGCGATTATGGCAAAAATCATAATCACGATTATTTTGGTCAATAATTGATATCACGATTATTAAATACGATTGTTCATTGGCTTTGAAAACGTCAATTTATTGAACTTTAAAACAAATTAAAATAATAATTTGAACAGTATCTGTTTAACTGTTGATTACCCTGAACGTATAATTCAACTGAAAAACCAATAAATAAAATAAATAATAAATGTACATAAATAATATCAAAATAATAAATACCAATAAAAATAAAAAATAATAATATAATATAATAATAAAAGATCAACAAATATTTTGGAGCGCACTTCAACAAGCTACTAAACATATATAAATATGATAAATAAATTAGACTATCAAATTAATTAGATCAAATATGTTGCAGTGCACTGTCACAACCTAGCAAAGCAAAATAATCGTTTTTTTCGATTATGTTGTATTTGTAATTGTGGCAGGCCAAAATCGTAATTGCGATTAAAAAACGATGAATTGCACAGCCCTAGCTGATGCTGCAGTTTTATAACAATTCAATACCTCCTCTCCTCCCCTTTCTAAAATCTCTGCAAATAGAATCGCAGCCGTTCACAAACAGTATATCTCCACCATTTCCATCCTATAAACTTTACAGATGATAAAGGGAGACCCTGCCATTTCCAATAACAAGGTGAGGGTGTATCAGTGTCTTGTTAGTAAAGTTAGCGCTCCACAACACATTGCACAAGAGGCACGGCAACCTCAAAGGAAACTAGTAGATGAACTACGATTGAAAAATGTCTTTGTATGATTTTATGTGGAAAGCAAGAGAATATCTCCGGCCCTAAGGCTTAGTTAATAATTGGAGAACATGTACAACTGCTATGAGTCCTTCTGCCTGATAACAAACTCTCTTATCAGCTCTGCTCAGCTTTATGGGATGGAGTGGGAGTTTCCACACTAAAATCCATCCGTAAGATCTCCTTATGTTTAGCCGTGTTTACAGCACACAGGATATACTTATT